TCACAGCGGCGGCGCGGTCTAAGGCATGAACGGTCTTCGCTCACTCGAATCCCACTCAAGGCAAAAGAATGTGTGCGCTTGTGTTGTCCTGTGTGTAGGTAGCGGCTTTGCGACGGGCTGATCCCCCGTCCAAATCTACCGCCCAGTAAAGGGCTGTAGAGCCAATGAAGGAAAGGGGTGGTAAGGTGCCCAATCCTCTGCCGCATTCCAAGCAAGAGACATACAGAGAACAACAACTTCAGCTGCACGTACGAGTTGTCTTTTAGAAAATTCTTATCATCAGACTAGTTTAAATATGGACAAAGGATGAACGCACTGTATAGCTATGCCCGTTAGGCAACACAGAATAGGCGGGGAAAATTTTTGATAGCGTGACTAGCCGAAATGTGAGACATTTCGTACACAGAAATGCTGACTATGAAAGATTTAAGCAAAAAGAATCCATGTTCTCGAATATGATTTGGCCATCCCGTCGTAATAATCCCATGACAGATTCTCATATATTGAGAATAGCTTCAGCTGTTCTGGTGTATTTGTTCGCCTTATTCATACGAGAAATACTTTTGAAAATCACGACTCTTTATTTCAGAAAAGAGTTTAGTGCCCAGTGGGTCCAGATGTTATGAGGAACAGGAACGACACTAGGAAGCGTCCGAGCTTCTAATTGTCTGATGATACACGGAAGTGTTAAGAGATTGCAACACAATCACAGCACATTTAGTGCACAACAAGTCGATATTATTTTCTTTTGCCTTGACGTGCTTAAAAAAACTTCAAGGAGTAAAAGTTTTCAGCCTTACAAAAGTCAAACCTCTTATGAACTCCCAAAAATTACCGCATTCACAGAAGTTCACCACTGACGCTACCTGAGTCAGATGAATCCAGTGCACACCTCAATATCCTGTTTAAGATCCACTTCAATATTATAATTCCATTTATGACTAGCTTTCCCAAACGGTTTCATTTCCATTCATGCTTCCTGACTACCTTTTTTTATGCATTTCTCACCTCTTCCGTGCGTGATACTTGTCCTACCTATCTAATAATTCACGATTTGATTTTCGTTATATTTGTGAAGAATGCAAGTTACAGAAGCACAGCCTCAACCATTTTACGTTTTACACACGCACAACCACATCGCAGGGTCTGTTACGGAGTTTATGCAGTTGTATGGGATATAACTCCAACATTAACTCTTCCACGGAGCTCACCGCCGTCTGTAAGCAGACTGTCTAGATAATGTGGCAGCCTCGACGTCCCCGCAAAATTATGGGCCTCCAATGCCTCTTCCACGGAAATACAAACCCCAATTTAGGGAAGCTTAAGGTCACTTTCACCGAACTGTTTTAAACCCGGCCTAACAAAGTTGTATACAACTCTTAACTTGCATTGTAATTATACTTTATATGCAGGTTTCCTAAGCATTGCCTTCGCAATCGAGTTGATGTTATGACGCAAACAGCAGAATTTATTTTCGATAGAAAATTTGTGGTATAGACTGCAGTTCTAACGACTCCCGCCTGAAGTGTTCAGATTGGTTGATCAGGGTGTTCAAAGTCGCTTTATGACTTTTGGGATCACCGACATATTTTGTAATCCTCTTAAGTTCTCGCTTCATCAATAGCACTTCAATTCGTATCCAGAAAACAAACAGTTCGCAATAAAAGAGATTACAGAGTATATTTAACTTGGTTCGGGTCCTAATGGAAGCACTGACAATGCATTGATGCCAATGAGCGATCAGGTTCAATAATTATATTTAGAAAAGAATAGTACCTCTAAACAAGTTATTTCGTTCTTAGCACCGAAATGGTCAAAAGCTTCAATGTGGCATTCAACACGGTTCAATATCAGGTAAAATTAAACGCACTATACGCATTGTACGAAGGTTCCTTAATGTACAGCTTAGTGTCAAGATAATATAGAATTGAAGATCTGAAAATTATACTGAGGCTTATTCTATATAATATTCTACAACCGACAATTCTTAGTAATGTAAGATTTGAGGCTTTCACGGCGGTGACTATGAAGAAGGCAGTCTTTTGGGATTTGGCACCGTGTATATGTGGTGGTAACCGACGTTTCGGAGGAACGTATCACCTCCATCTTCAGGGTAGAAGAAACGTCGGTTACCACCACATATACACGGTGCCAAATCCCAAAAGACTGCTTTCTTCAATTCTTAGTAATACTAAAATGTAACCGGAAAATAACTCGATTATATATATATATATATACACACACACACAGGATGCTCCAAATTTACATTACTGAAATGAAAAGACGAAGGCCCCTTCTCAGACCCTGAAGAAATGGTCCGATCACCATGTCCCTGTAGCGTTCTTGGGTGACGGTAAGCGTACTGCCTTCCTCATCCTCAATGATATAGAGGCCTACTATACCGTGTGCTGAGACGGCACACCATAGCGTCACACGTTTACTGTGTAGCGGTTACAGTTACTGGTGGACCAGACTTCACTTTCCGTTGACACAGTACACTACAGAGTATGAGCGGAAATAATACTCAACTATGGATACTTTTTCCTCCGTCGAGAGACCCATTTCCAACAACTGCACAACAAAACTTCCTTTTCACTACTGGGAACACCTGCGGCTGGAGCTATTCCCCGTCGGCAAATGCACATGCGCGTTCGAGATGCGCGAGTTTCAGTACTGTATATTTTGGCGCATACTGTGTGTATATATGTTAAACATTCTGCGAGTGAAATTTTGAAGATTTCATTGCGATAATGTCGATCACAGTGATGGTAAACGCACTGAAATATTTATTTAATAAATTTATCATTTTGCTCCTCCTTGTTTCTCAAATGTAAACCGAAATGCGTCATTAATGATAGCTAACAAATGCAACATTCACAGTTCTTCTTTACATACTTTGTTGTGTGAAGAACTGACTAGGATATTTCGTTGGCGGAAGAAATTTTTATTTCTTGGGCTGCAGGAAGTGTCATAATTTGACTGTCTGGTGCTATAAGCAGAAAATAAATATGTTTGCTCCCTTTACATAATTGTACTCAAGACTTTTAGGGCTTTTGTTAAAGTACTGAAAATCAAAATTTCTCTTTCTGTGAGTCTGTGTTGTCCAGTACTTCTAAACTGAAACAAACAGCAGTTGAAACTAATTTCCAAATGTATTTCGTGCGAAAAATTTACAGGTGTTATGAAATGTGTGACGGACAAAAAATTTTCAGAGTATGCAAGGAGAAAGATGAAAAATGCATACAAAATCTTGAATAGAATAGACCGTTCGGGTGAGTCTAGCATAGACGGACAGTAACATGAAGATGGATATTAAAGAAATAACGTACAAAAGTGTGGATTCAACTGATCCATGTTGATTCAGTGACAACCATACATCAACGCGATTACCTTCGAGTTCCGTGAAAGGTAAGGGCTTTCTTCACTTGCTGAGCGACTGTCATCTTCTCAAGAATGACTCTGTTCCTTGGAATCAGATTTCTTATTTGTACTTATGACTCTATTTCGACATGCCGTTTATATTTTAACTGAAATTTAATAAAATGAAAGGTTCTTCAAACGCACACTATAAACCGCACAGGCCTTAGTTCACTCGTAAAAATCTAAAACAGGTCTATTTTAAATTCTAAGCGTTTAGAAAAGTAGGTCTATATTTCGCTACGCTCATGAGGCATGTGTAGTAGTTAGTTTTAATTCCTGACTAAAACAAAATTTAGTTCGAAATGTGTCGTATATTCAACCCATAAATTGCATATATAAAAGTGTCAAATAAACGGAAAAGAAAATGTATCTATCAGATCATCAATCATATACTAATTTACCGCGATTTTGTATTCAAATTTTGAAGTCATTCCTAGTGTCAGAGGCAGGAAATGTAGCCAGTTCATTCCTGAACTGTTAAAACGCCAGATATTCAACAACAAATCTGACACAATTTTCCGTATGTTTAGTCTTTCACGTCTGACTCTGATATATTTTAGTGTACAAGTTTCTGTTTAAGGACCGCCCATAGTTCGTTACATTGTGATGAAATCCATTCATATGGCCTACAAACACATAAAGACCCAATACAACAGCACGAGGTGCAGCCGGTTCTGAGACAGATCATATTCAACCACACTGAATTTCATTTCGTTAATTTTTTTCATTTATACACTCATGAAGTGAATAATGGAGACACCTACTTAATAATATGCACCAATTCTAATAAAATAGATCATTTTTAGACATTAAGATTATTTGTGATGGGGGACTTGACTTCTCTTTTTATATATCTACAGCTAATATTCTCAACCAACTCTTGTGTATGTGTGTTGAAAAGTTTGCATGTAATGTGAATTCATGGGTGATCTGAAATACATTAACAGACATTAATAACTGGTATAGAACTATGTATCCAAACATATTAATGGCATACTTTCCAATGTGAATAGTTCAGTCCGTAGTCAGGGAAAGACCACAGCAGAAACATGTATGTACAGTTTGAAGACCACGTGTGCAGTCACGCTAAGAAAATCTGGACCCCCGAGGATTGCATGAGAGGAAAATGACATAAAATATAAACAAAACATTAACATTGAATACTTCATGATAGGGTGAAGAACGAAAAATGACAGAAAAAATTTATAAACACAGAGCATACATGAATAAATGCTGGAACATTAAATTTTAAACACCATTCTACACATCATCATACAGGCATAAACATCGCGAGGCACATCGAAGCAGGTCACATGATCTTCAACATAGCTTGGTGATCGGTCACGTGGCGTTTTCCTAATTTCACATCCATTAGTTTCGGAGATAAATGCACTTCAGTAGGGCTTCTTTCAAGAATACCGTCTTCTGGGATGTGGCGCCGCTTAATTATTGTGTAAACCGAGGTTTCGGAGGAACGCATCGCCTCCATCTTCAGGATATCAGGCTCGCGGATTTTTCTGCCCTGAAAATGGAGGCGATATGTTCCTCCGAAACGTCGGTTTACACAATATATACAGAACGCCACATCCCAGAAGACGGCATTCTTCGTAGGCACCGCCGTGAAAACCTCAAATCTTACATAATGGCTTTCTTCTTCCGTCAGTGATGTTGCAGTGATAACATGATACAGTTTCTGTGACGACGTGAGGAGCAGCTCAGACAAGCTTTCAGCTTCTAGAGGTGCTCAGAGTAGGGGCATTTCTGGGTTCCTTACTCACACATCCTTATGACGAAGCCTTTTCTTTTTAAGCATGCTGACGGCATGATGACGCTTGCGCACATCAATCACGAATCGCAACTAGGCAATTCTACTTATGGGCGTTATTTTATTAAAAAGATTTATGATTATTATTACATGATTCTACATGTCTTTTGTGCTGCCAAGTTTTGCTGAACCATTCCAGGATATGACCGCTGTTTGCCTGTTTGGTGCTGTGATAAGCCGGTTGTTCAAAATGTTGTTCTTAAACACTCTGTACACGAAGGTGTGATTATCATATTCATACTTTGCATACATACTTCTGGTATTAATTTAAAAACATGTAATTTGAATAAACATTTGATGAATTTAACTGCATAAATAAAACAAGCTGTTCATATGTGAATTGAAACATTTCTTGAACAACTTGCTGTATGACTTAATCTTTTGTCTTGTTTTTCTAAATTATATATTACGACGGAAATCTTTTTAAAATCGTCTTTAATACTGACCGAGTTACGGGGTCCGTATTGACTGTACACTGCTCTGGAAATAGGACTTAAAAAGTATATTTCACGAAAATCATGCACGTATATCCATTCCGTAATCGCTGTCTTTGCGCTGTGATGTGTCTATTACTTTCACGTTTCTTATGTGAGAAGTATAGATCATTTTGTTATTTTATACTTCCTTCTGTCAACATTCTTGGATAATCTGTACCACTAATTGTTCTTGTTTCTTGTAATTATTTCTGTTTCTTTCTATTCTTTTCTCCCCTCACGAGACACTACTATTGTGTCTCCTTCATATTCAATACAAATAGCTCTATACTCTTAATTTATTTCCTTGCACTTTGCCCTGTGAACTCCAAAGCCTCATTTCGAGCTTTTTTTATTTTTTTTTGTAAGGTGGTAGATTTAACGAGTCTTCTTTTACATGCGATCCTCAGGTACTTTTAACACATCTCTTTCCATTGCATATATTCCCCCTATTAATATGCCTACATTTCACTACTGAAAAATTCTTCTTTTTTCAATAAAGGGAGAAAAACAGCTGAAGTCTTGGCTCCAAAATAAACCAGTAAGTCATGAATACTGTTGAAACACTTCACTCGCTGCATAATTATCCAGTATATCACTATACACGAATTACAAGCGTTTCGTATACTGTACAATGTTGGCCGAACTCTTCGGATGACAACTGGTCACGTGTCGAGGCGTCTTCATGCATCTACTGCTGCGCAAGTGCGTTCTCCTGCAACAGATGAAATAACAGTAGGCGTTACAAATGTTCTAGTGCAATTCGAAGTAGTCAGTCATAGAATAGGATTATACTGTGTGAACATTTAATGTCTCGGATAAAGCACGAGTGGTGTAGGTAGCAAGAAAACTATAAACTGTGCTTGAATGTTTATATTATATGGAGTGACAAAACAAAAATAATGCTCTTTAAAAACGGTAAAGGTGAAAGGTTCTATGGGTTTAAATTAAATTTGTGTAGAACATTCTTTCTTATGTTTACAGAACAGTTATTCATTTCAGTTAATTAGTTACACAAAAAGACATTTTTTTCTTTCAAATGTTCAAACAGGTATCTATATTCATATCATGGCCCCCTTTACGCTTGTCAGGTAAGGCTACAATTGAATTTTCCAACCACAGAAGGGCCATCGACTTCTCAGATTTTAAATAATCATGATCGTGACGAACTTAAGAGGAGCACAAATCCACTTCAATCCCTGCAGTTACTACTGCAACAAAGAATTGAAAATGTGTGGCCTGTGATATCACGTGACACAGCTGATGGGCCATGTAAACAACAGTATTACTTCTAATCCGATCAGACTGGCGTCTGTATTCTGCATCGACGCCAATAAAAAAATGCTACAAGTTATAAAAGAAATGTTAATGTTCCAAGGCGGATATACGTAGTATTTCTGTGTGACATATCAACCTAACTAAATACTCCTTTTGTACACATACTTAAGAACGGTCTTCGTAGCGTGCGCGAGTTCCACTCAACTAATCAGAACCGATTATCTTCTCCATTTGACGAAAGTCACCCGATATAAGTATCTAATTTTGTAGGATCAACAGTGCAAAATGTCAACACACACAATGTACGAAAGGCACAATTTGTAATAATTGTAGAACAGCAATTATATTGTTTCTGGACATTGTTTTAAATAAAACAGGACGATGGTTATGTCTAGAAAAGCAATACTTGCATTGCTATACCATCCTAAAAAACTTTTACGTCTTATCTTACTAGAAGAGTCTTTCCAATTTTGGAGCTGATTCTTGGGCTCTGTAACGGTACTGCTGTAACTGCGCAAGTGATACAGCGTTGAATGTGATGGCGAGCGATTGGGATGAGGCATTCGTGGAAATTGCAACGAGAAATTCAAGTAATCGCCTGTAGATACTGAGGAAGCCCATAAACAGGAACACCAGTCAGATTATCTGACAACCAGACCGAGACTATAAACCACAAACCTGCGGATACAACTGTAGATCGCTGCGGCTACACCAACCCCGTGGTGCCCGCGGCGACCCGGGTTCGATCCCGGGTCTGGTCAAGTGGGAATTGTGGTGGACAAAGTGGCGCTGGGGTAGGTTTTCTCCGAGTACTTCGGTTTCCCCTGCCAATCTTCATTACACCAATTGCTCCACAATCACCCTCACCTATCCATCTGGGGCTGGTACAATAGGCCAGAAGTGGCCGCAGTACAAGGGACTTAGTCCCACCCCACTAGCAATAAAAAAGAAACCCGTGGTGCAGGAGGGCTTTCCTTAAGAAGTCAATCTAATCAAGAAATGTCCTTGTGTTACGCAAAGCGAAGTTTCACCCTCATATATACTAGAGGCCTATCACCGGGGTCTCTCCGCACAAGTTCGAACCCAACGCACTTCTTGCACGCTGTTTCTCTAAGATCAGCTTCATAACTGGGATTTGCAAGTTCTCACAGTGGTGGACATGACATGGTCTCCTGGGTTGTGCACCCTTAAAATTTGTTAGGTTCAGATATACATTAATTATTGGTGAGGAACTTTTATACCTGTGCACAAACTCCACCGCATCACATCTTCGAAACCGCAATAATATTTTGTCTACTTTCCTGAAGTAGGCTTATGGGATCTCATGCTGTCTGTATGCCTATGTGCCTATATATATCTGCGTGTCAACATCTCAATGTCTGGAACTTGGTATGTATATCATGACACCTGAGCCAATGTCAATGCCATGCTTCCTAAATCCCTCCCATCAGTCTGTGTGTCTATGTGTATCATCCTGTCGTAGCTACGCCACGGCTCGGTAAACGCAGTTCCGCGCGGAAATGCATAAACACAACAACAGGATTGTTGAACGCGTGTTTGTGGGTCTGCGTATCCCCCTATCGTGGGGCCGCGCCATAGCTCAAGCGGTTGGTCGCTGGCTTCCCACCGCGGCGGCCCGGGTTCGATCCCGGGTCTGGTCAAGTGGGATTTGTGGTGGACAATGTGGCGCTGGGGCAGGTTTTCTCCAAGTACTTCGGTTTCCCCTGCCAATCTTCATTCCATCAATTGCTCCACAACCACCGTCACCTATCATCTGGGGCTGGTACAATAGGCCAGAAGTGACCGCAGTACAGGGGACTTAGTCCCACCCCACTACCAATAAAAAAATCCCCCTATCTTTGCTAGGCTACTACTCAGTAAAGAAGTGCCCCCGGAAACGAGGAATCGTTGGAGGCTTCGTTTTCAATGCAGTTCATATCATATCAAAGGAAAGGAAGCGATTAATTCTTCCCAGATCTTATTGTTTAATATAAATATCTATCTCTGCACATGCAGGAATATTCCTGGTGGTAAAGGATGGAAGGCGGGTAAGGTTGACCTCACCGCCATCTGTGAGCCGATTGTCTAGAAAATGTGGGAGCCTCGACATCTCACAACCCTATGGGCCCCCACGTTCTACTCAGTGGCCATCAGAGGTATCTGCTCTCCTGGGGTATATGGACCTAATTCTTCTATGTTCCCCTCTTCCTCATTTTACCCGCGCATGCTAAATGTCCAAACAATCTCATCCTCATGAATTTAATTATTGTAAGAAGATTAGCTGAAGGGTAGATAAAGTGGTGCCTCTCATGTACGCCGTTTATCCTCTCCTATATCCTCCTGCTATTTCGTCTCTCTCAGGACGGCGTTCTCTTCCTTCTCCAGCACACTCTATGGACGAGGAAAGGTTCCGCATGTCTACGCTAACAGGTTAAGTCATAACAGACAAAGTTATCCCTTAGCTTAACTAATTAAGCACTACACCACGAAGGCGTATGAGAGAATGGATGTACAGATCCACGTTTTCTTTACCTCTGCACTAGAAGTTGAGTCATACTCTGCATATTTTAGTCATCAGACTTTCGGAAGGGCGGGAAGACAATAGGTTCACGTCATAGTGCTTATTTCTACTTAGTTTCACCGGCAACTGCAACAGGAACCCGTTATGCCGTTGTTGTCTGGACGTGCCCTGACTGAGCGTACTGAAACGGAGACAAGGCTCGATTGCTGGGCCTGACTATCTCTGTGTTCAAGGTGAGGCAAAATCAGGCACATACATTTTTTCTTATATTCTTCTTCTTCTTTATTTCTCTCTGAATTGGGATATCTCAGTCAGTATAGTGAATAGGCCATGGCCTGAATGAACGGGATATTGGGTTTCAGTTCCCGGCGTTGCCAAGGTTAAGTACCACACCATGAAGAAGTATGGAAGAGCGAAGGTATAGCTCCACCATTATTGGCCTCGGCACTAGATGGAGGCGAGTGTTCAGTGTCACTCCCGGAGAAAGAATCGCTGGTACTCATTTGACAGGAGGGGTGGGTGGGCCCTAGTGCCAGTCTGAACGTTGTGGAACAGAGAAAATTCATCTGCCGGGAATCGAATTACAGCTCCTCGGCAGTCCAATCCGCAGACCGTCGCAATACCAGTGTAGGATGTCTGAGGAATAATGGATTGGGAAGGAGCTGTCGTGACTTCAATGAGATACCAACCTGGCATTTGCCTGGGCGATGAATATGCTCAAGTAAGAAGAGTGAAAAATTAAAAAAGTATTAACAACAGGGGCTGCTGCTATTCTGAAGAGCAACAGTATGCAGCAAAATGCAAAGAAATGTGAAAAATTTGTAAACACCAACATTTTAAGAATGGGGCAGCAGTAGGGGCCGCTGGACAAGATGTCACTGCTGCTATCACAATTTGCGAACTCTTCTTCAGTGTGCAGAAGCGAATCTGAACCAGGATATCGTGACATGCGCACTGACACGCACAAGAAATCTACACACTGGAAAAAACATAACTTCGGTTACAATATAATTACAGTTTGTACAATCATGCCAACGAATTTAACGTCAGTTCCAGTAGCTATCTCAGGCCAAGATGAGTTATGACGCAGTTATGGATGAGAAGCCATTGTGTTTTGTAGACTGGAATGACTTTATCGATTTAAATGTGGGTGGTGATACAGTTTATGGCCACCCTGTACACACACACACACACACACGCACACACACACACATATATATAGGTATATATATATATGAAGAGGAGGCAAGGCAATGCTCCTTTGCGAGCGGATGAACGATGCAAATGATAAACGGATCCTGTCGCTGTTTCTTAATCTTGATCTAAGTGACGAATTGTGGCAATGTTTTCACACGGGGACTGTCCTAGTGTTCAGCTTGCTGACCAGCGTGGATGAGGGCTGTTGGATACTGATTATTCTACATTAATGACATATCAATTCCGGGGAATTATCGCATCTGTTTACCGCTCCGAAAGCAGGATTAGTACTGTTGTGTTAGTGAAGGCGTGGGACTCGCTTAGTTACAGCGGTTAAATATTTACCCAAGTGATTCTGACACTTAGCTGTCAGAGTCGCATACAGGTCACTGCTTTACATCTGCAGACTGAGCCATGTTATGGCTCTTGGATGACGTCATGCCTTCCAGCCATGTTAATCCCTACCCCTTCATCCCGTGCTGGAGTGTATCACGTGGGATTCCGCTTCCTCTCCCCGTCCCCTCCCCAGATGGTTCGGAAGAAGCCGGTTAGTGAATCTAAATTCATTCGCTGCTTGGATCCACAGCGTATCGGACGTACGCGGCCAGCCGGGGATTTTTTTTCAAATTCGGTTTCGGAAGGTATTCTAAATTATGTCTGGGAGGTTGTGCTGGCAACGCACGTCGGGGGTTTTGCTTGCATTATAAGTTATTGTGGGG